ATTTTTGATTGTATAGTTAATGATTTAAAAATCATCAAAGTTGAAATTTATAATAAAAACATAGTAAGTGGACTCAAACTTTTGAAAGCAACTGTATATACAAATATAAAAATTTATATATTCAATACAATCTAATTATAAATTTTTTTTTAAAATAATACTGTAAGTATATTAAATTATATAGTTTAAGATAATTTTTCACTCATTGTTATCTCAATAAAACCAATAAATTATGGCTTACCAGCATAAAAAAAAAGTAAATAAGTAAAATGAAACAAGTTTACTTGATAAAGCACTATATACAGTATATGTAAGTCTAATCGTCACACGGTTAATCAACAATGCTTAAATAAAATGCGTGTTTTCGATTGCCACGTGAACAAATGTTGATCGGTTTGCACCATATATAAATAGGGTTTTGGTATTTTATTCAACTTTGTATTATTGTCATGGATTCAAGTCAACCGACGAAACAGATCACAGATGAATCTATTGTTTTACAATACTTGGCCCAAATGGGCTATAAACAAACCGAATCAATGTTTCGTCAAGAGTCCGCGAGAATTAATGAACATATTAATTCCGACGGTTCAACGACCTTCCTTTCTTTGAGTCATAGGAGCATTAGTCCAGAGGAATATAAGCAGAGTTACTTAAACTTGAAGATATCTATCGAACGAACTATTGACAAGTTTAAGGTGATTTGACGAAATTCCGCGAGGTAGTTGGTTGCATCTTTGAAATAATTCCTTTCAAATTGTAGGGTGAATTGCAACCAGTTTTGTACCCGATATTTGTACACGCATATCTTGAAATGATCTCAAAGAATATGCTCGAACAAGGTATTCCAGTAGTTTTTTTATTTTGTCAGACGTTATTCTCTAACGATATTATACTGCGATTAGCATCCAAATTTTTTGACGAGTATAAGTCGGACCATATCACTCATGAGAAAGAGTTGAAAGCGCTACATGCGATTACACACCCGCATCACGTACAAGAGAACGAACTTGCGCAAAGATTCAGATCGAAGAAATTTACAGTGCGAATGACTAAAACTTCATATGAAATGTTGATCGACCATTTACAAAGTGATAGCCTTCTGTTAAGAATAGTAAACCGACATCTTGACCTTGAAGGTACGTTTCATAGGTACATTCCCTCACTGAAAACTCGGTAATAACACGAGACGACTATTAGCACAGCAAGGAATTATCGGTGCTTCGCACACGGATATTGGAATTCCAAGCTATTCGTCACAGGAGCTCGAAGAATTTAACAGACAGGAGGTTCAGTTGGGCTTTCTGCCGATGGATCCGGCTTTGCGCGATGAGATCAAGAGAACACTGACCGAAGAAGATAATTATCGTAAAACAATGATGGAAGCCGAGTATAATGTTGGGTCGGAAGAGCAACAGGTGGAAGTTATTACACGCAAGCCAATAAAATAAATAAATTATATTGATATTTATGCATTCAATATTTAATTCCATTTCAGGCTAATGGTGTTCTGGATCAATATCCTTCGCTTCAGCAAGAGTTCATTGAAAAAATCAGGAGGGAACAAAGTTCAGATGCACCCGATAGAGCTTCTATACCTCTGCCGTCATAGTATGTTATCGATCATTTTGATTACAATGAAACCTAGCATAACATGAATAATGGATTCACATATTCTGACATGAGAGAAATTCAGCAAGGGGGCTGACGTACACTCGCAAGTCGAATTGATTAAAGACATGACGCAGCGAATAAAATTAGGACCTTCCGCTCTGCCATCAGTTTGCTTTTACACTTTTCATAATACTAATGATAGGTGAGTTTCCTTGTCACCGTTACCCTTCGAACACGTGTTCATAATGAGCTCATCTTCTTCTTCGTTTTAGTTTAAATTGTTTGTCCATTTCCGAGGATTCTTCTCTTATCGCGGGTGGTTTTTCCGATTCGTATATAAAGATTTGGAGCTTGAAGGGTGAAAAGCTTAGAGGATTCAAGAGTCAAATTAAAGTAGCAGAGATAAACTCGGGTAAAAATAACCAAAGAAAGATCTTTTCACAATTGATTCTTGTCAGTTGAGATATCCGACTGATCGTGTGATTAATACTCAAGCATATGACTTAGAAAACGCGAGAGAAGGCGGCGGTAGCGATTACAAAAAACTTTTAGGACACTCGGGTCCTGTTCTTGGATTAAGTTTTAGTCCAGATAACAAATATCTAATTTCCTGCTCCGAGGATAGAACAGGTAAGTCCGATTACATCCGTGTACAGCATCTAGTTAATGTGCATCTACATACAGATACCAATGATTCTAATCGCTAACCTCTCCTTTGCAATTACCAAAGCAAGATTATGGAGCACGGATACCTTCACCAATCTTGTGAGCTACAAAGGACACAACTCTCCGGTCTGGGACGTAAGCTTTAGTCCGTTGGGATTTTATTTCGCGACGGCTGGGCATGACAGAACGGCCAGATTGTGGAGTTGTGATCACATTTATCCGTTGAGGATTTTTGTGGGACACATGTCTGATGTGGATGTATGTGAATTTCGAAAAAAAATTTCCTTCTGTTTTATCTTGGTAAGGTGAACTCATTGAAAAAAACCGAATATGGAAGTGTGTTAGGTTTCATCCCAATTCCAAATATATAATCACCGGATCCAGTGACAAGTCTGTTCGCATGTGGGATGTTCAACGAGGCTCGTGTTTTCGAATATTTTCGGGTCACACGAAAGGTGTCGGTTGTTTGGCCATTTCATCTGACGGGCGTTTATTGGCTTCTGGCGGTAAGTAAAATTAATCGGGTTTGTTGACCGAACAGATATACTTTTTAATTTCATGCTAAGACCTTGCCGTTGATTTAGGTGAGGATAGGTCAATAATCCTATGGGACCTGGGAACTGGAAGACAGCTTAAAAAAATGATTGGGCACACGGATATTATTTATTCATTAGATTTTAGTAAGGAAGACAGCATTCTCGTCTCCGGAGGTGCCGATAATACTGTGCGTATGTGGGACGTTAAAAAGGGTATATCGAATGACTTCAACGAGGATGACCAGTTGTCATTAGTGAACAAACCGAAAACTCAAGAGAATGGTAATGCTAATTATTCGTTTATGAAGTCGGATACTTCATCGGTAGTTGCATCTCAGTAAGTGTACTTGTAACTTTTTTTTTAATGCGTTTGCATTCCCGAATACCATTCACTCATATCATTCCTATTACAGAGATCTCTTGACGGTACTGCCAACGAAGAGAACTCCGGTGTATAGAATACACTTCACGAGGAGAAACCTGTGCCTCGCTGCTGGTGCCTATTCGGCCAGCGAAGAAGAGAAATTCGACTGGGAGCAGAAGACTAAATCTGAACAAAAAAAAGATCAACAACAATAATAATATTAATAATAATAATAATTTCGGATTTCTGCATGATTTTGAAAAGTTCGTGAACTGAGATCGATTTGTTTTATATATGTACATACAGTTACAACTACATACACAATTGCAGAGTTTTGATTTATAATCGCTTGACATTCCGTCAAAGAATATTGTTCACATTACACCATTTATATGCATTGTATTCTCTACTTTTTGTAATTAGTAAATTTCATTTCTTTGGCTAATCTCGGATAACGGGTTCTAACCCATTCGATTACTTGATACTCATCTCTACTTTTGCCGGGAATGTCGTGTAAAAAGTTTAGCAATGGCCTTATTGTTTTTACTTCCGGGGTAAACCCTTCTGATATCAACTCATTGAACAAAATATATTTTGCTTCTTCGAAAAGTTGATTACGAGCCAAAGCCTCGATGAGTGAATTGTAGTTGTTGAGAGTTAAGGGAAATTTTTTGGCCCGAAGATCATTCCAAATTCGAACGAGTCTTCGAATCTCCCTCCCGTAACCACAAGAGTCGAGAACTATCGAAACTGTGGAGTCGTTGATCGACTGTTCACTAGCGATTAAGAAATCCCAGATTGCCAGAACCTGAAGTACATGGCCGCATCGATTGTAGGCATCCATCAGAGCATTATAAATTCCTACATCCATATCGACATTGAGATCCATTTTAACTATGCTATGTATATTCTTCACTCCTTCGTAATCATACTGTTGTCCTAGCCCGGTGATAAGAACGGTATAGGTCTTGACGTTAGGCTTCACCTTGGATCTCAGCATATCAGAGAATAGCCTCTGTGCTTCGGCAATTCTTCGCATCTTAACGAAGGAATCAATCAACGTCGTGTATCCTTGAACATCCAATTCTACCCCGGTTTGCTTGACTTCATAATAAAATTGTATCGCGTCGTTTTCTCTGCCGGATAAAATCATTGTCTTTGTTAAATTGGTGAATGTGATCACATTTATCGTTCCTCCTTGGTTAATAAGGACATTGTAAGTTTCTATTGCTCCGTCGATATCGAGCTTTTCAATGTGTATACTAATGAGAGCATTGTACACGTTGTCACCAATCGTCAAGTTTCGACCGATCAATTCTTGTAAAAATCCTCGAGCCAAGATCAATTCGTCTCGAAACTCATGAAAGAAGTTTTTAAGCGTTCGAAAGTTTTGCTCGGTTGAACTTTCTCTGATCGGCAAATGCTGAAATAATTCTACTGCCTTATCAATATTTCCCGACTTTACCAGTCCTCTTATGATTGCACTCTGAATTGTGGAATTCGGTTTCATTCCGCCGTCTAGCATCCGCCGAAATGATTCCATAACACCTTCCATATTTCCATGCTTGAGATCCACTTCTAATAACAAGTTAAGAATGTTTTTCATATCCGTCGACTCATCATCATATAGTTTGATGCCCTTACTGTTCATGATCTCCTGACGAAATTCCTTGACCTTTTCAATATTTCCACTATCATTATAACCATTTAACAAGATATCGAACGTTGTTACATCGGGTGACACGTCAACTTCAATCATTTCACGATAAAGTTTCCCGGCATTCTCAGTATCACCTTTTTTGCAACATAGATCAATTAATGAATTATATATTGTGGAGTTAGGATTCACTCCGTTTGTCTGCATCCTCCGATGTGCTTGTAAGGCACTCTCCAAGTCTAGCGTTCTCTTGAACACCTCAATCAGCGTGTTATAGGTAAGATCGGAATGCGTTATACCGTCATCCCTCATCATGTCCAGTATCCTCCAAGAATCCGATGGTCTTCCGTGTAATCCACAGGCATATATAAGCGCGTGGTATTCTCGATGCCCCGGCTGTAAACCCAGTCTTCGCATGTCTTCCATCATGCGATACAAGAGGTCCAGAGTTCCATCAAATGTTGATCTTTGTAAGATGGATATGGCTTCACCGTAATCCTCGAGCGTCAGATGCACCCTTTCTTCCGAATTGTGCAGTTGCTGGTAGGAACAAGTAACCACGTTGGCGTCGCCTCCCTTAATTGATTCCCGAAAATTTTCATAGAGTTTCCTCGGTAGATTCCCTTTATCCACGTGTTTGGCGACACCCAACTGATTTTCTTGAATAGTTTCTGCCGAATTATTGATATCACTTTTAGAATCCGTTGTGTAGTTGTAATGAGGTACGCCTCCGAAAACCTTCTTGTGCACTGAACGCTTTATCGAAAAGGTCGGAAGTAGTGGTGGATAACATTCGAACGTCGACAACAGAAACAATGCCCTCGGCCTTATGCATTCTTGACTTCTTGCGGGTTGGAAAAACCAATTATTAGAGATCACCACCGTTCTTCGGGGTATTATTAAGGAAACCTTATAAACAAAAAATTTAAGCATTCTCGATAAAAGATGTTGCGTAACATACATGTCTGTGATTTTATCCTCCAATCAATCAACATGTTAGATCTCAGCCATGTCTTTCAGCTTACTCGATGTTGTTAAACAATGCGACAACTTTCCCTATCCAGAGGATATCGCTGAACTTCGAAAATTGAACGCCATTCCACTTGTACTTGATAAATTTAAACTCGGACTTTTACCTCCCTCCACCGTTCAAGCCTTACGAGTATATAATGAGGAGCGTGAGGGTCCCAGACCTTTTGTCATTGAAAAAGATTTCGTCACGTTTTCTCCGCACGTCAAATCGTTTGAACAACGTACGGAAGTGGTAAGATTAGTCGTTGACACCTGGAGGAAAGAAAAAACCTTTCCGGCTTTAGAAGGTACATCTAAAGCTCAAAATAGCACAAGTCTACTCTCGTGCACGCCTTAAACATTTCATTTCCTTGAAGGTTGGCGTGACGAATTATACCCGGTGTACGGAGATCCTAGCGGTCCGTCCAACATGGCCTTCGTCATGGAACGTTCGGCAACTCCTCTATTTGGTGTGTTATCTTTTGGTGTCCACCTAACCGGTTTCGTTAAAACAAAGGAAGGTGAATACAGATTTTGGATCGCCAAGCGTTCAAGCACGAAACCAACTTGGCCCGGCTGTTTGGATAATACAGTTGCAGGCGGGATACCGTACAATTCGTCCGTCTCGGGAACCATTATAAAGGAAGCCATGGAGGAAGCCAACTTGCCAGAAGAGGTAGCAAAGGAAGCCATTCCTGCAGGGGCCATTACTTATTTTACGGTGAACGAGCGTGGACTGCAACCTGAGGCACAGTAAGTTATCTTGACGAATAACAAGGTGAACCAAAGGTCTTTTTAAA